AAGCAGAGTTCATCGTAAAAGTCCGACTATATCATGAGCATATGTTTAGAACGCCATCAAACAGAGATAATATCAGGTTTTCGTAAAACAGTGAGCACATCCTGCCCCACCATTATCACACGACACCTGCAAAGGCTTGTCAATTGTTCTCCTGAAAAAGAAACTTACGATGTACATTAATACGGTGATTTGTTTGCGCTGAGATGTATGGCGTCTTAAATCTACGTGAGAGTGGAGCGATTTGGAGTAAAGATAAACACACTTAAGAATTTCTCGTACATATTTTCAAAATGTCTATTTCACGCCCAATAACAGATAATACTTATTGCCCCATCGTTGAACGAGCAGCTTTGTTGTGATCGTCCATCAGCTTGACGATCCTTTTTAAAAAGGTTCCTTAAATACAATCTTCATGCAAGTGGAAAATGCAAACATGCATTGAAAACAAGATGAAAACATCATATTTTTCTAATATGTACATTTTAATGCATCTTTTTAAATGATGCTTAAATATAATATTCTCGCAAGTGAAATATGCGAACATTGACTTCAGAACAAGAAGAAAATATCGCATTTCTCATTTGCATATTTTAATGCATCTTTTTAAAGGGATCTTTAGGTCAACAGACGCTGGAGAACAAGACAAAAATATAGAGTTCAAGTAAGGGGCGGTGGGGTAGCCTAGTGGTTAAAAGGCTCGTTCGTTACACTTGGGGGCGATGGGGTAGCCTAGTGGTTAAAGCGTTCGCTCGTCACGCCGAAGACCCGGGTTCGATTCCCCACATGGGTCCAATTCGTGAAGCCCATTTCTGGTGTCATGCTGCCATGCTATTGCTGGAATATTGCTAAAAGTGGCGTAAAACTAAATTCACTCACTCTCACTCATTTCATATATGCACAGGTGTAATCAGTTTCTCGATCGTTCTTTTGATAGGTAATTCCAATGATCGTAATATTTCCTGACTTGAAGGCGGGGGGTGCAAGCCTAAAAAAACATGGGTTACCAATTAGTCTCCCATTGGCTGCTCCTCAGCAGTGTAGATGTTATCTGTCCAAGAGTGACAGGACTGTAACAGCTATGGGTGCCTGGCAAGAGCCTGGCGATGTCAAAGGTTAACCTTGGAATTTACCACTAGAATAAACATGTGCCTTATAGTAAATGTCCGACAACCCTTTCACTTCATGTTGTGATGACAAAAGAGATTAATTTGATTAGGATATATGAAATTTAAAATTGTACTTATTTTCTGAAAATTAAATCTTCAACATGGTGATGTCAGCATTAAATAAGTGTACAGTCCTAACCCTGCACAGCATGGGGTCAAGGGAGTGGGGAGGGGGGTCATTCTCACAGCCTGCCTGAAATATGAAACCCTGCAATGAAACTTTTAACCCACTCACAGACTTGTTTCTGTGGAAACGCACCTTTTCTGGCAGCCTGACTGATACAGTGGGAAATTCAAATTTGGATTTAAAAGAGAGAAATTTATATTTTCAAAATGTATGTTTTGTAGGCTGTCTGCATACATACAAGTCAATTTTGTGATATTCCATGAAATGTACTAGAATACTGCATTGCTTTGCATCGAAAGACATCTTTGACAAGGTAAGGAGGCCACACCCTGTCTGTGTATTAGGGCTGTGTATTGCCCCAAATTTCGTATTGCGATATATTGCGATACACTCTTCTGTATTGCGATGCGTATTGCAAAATATATTGTGAAAGAACAGTTATTGGGATCTGTCCACTATGTAATATTCTTTTACCTCCAAATTGAATCACAGTATATGTGAGTAACCACTGTGCATTGTATAGCTTCTTTCAAAGCAAGAAAAAGGAAAACCAGAACATTCTTCTGTTTATATTTTTATTTTAAAACAGCAGGGATCGACACTCACTAAACATTTTAACTAGTCCTCCGGGCTAGTGGATTTGGCATGTCACTAGTCCTTTCCAAATATTAATAGCCCTACACTTTACTATAAAAAAACTTTCAACAAGTCTTTGTTCTAATGGCAACTGCGGTCCAAAGGAAAATTAACACAGATAAATGTATGATGTCACATTTCATATATATGACAAATTCAACTGAAACTATCTTACATCATGTCCTCCATAAACCCACCCATGCCATTTATATACTTCTTTAGACAGCAAAGGATGTTGAATTTCAAATAATTTAAAGAGTCTGAGCTACTGTACACATCGGTATTACTCAAGAAAATTTAATTGAAGTCACAAGCATGTAGCATGATCTTGAAGTGCACATTTTAATCAAAACAATGATTTATGCACCTTTGTCTTTGAATAAAAGTATTATTAACATTACTTATTTCATGAATGACGTTTGGTACCCTTTCTCCTAAAGAAATGATTTAACAAAGCAATCAAGATGTGCAAAAGTCTCTCTGTATTAGGTAAAGTAAACTTTCTTTAGACTGAATAGAATGATGAAAAAAAAATGAAACATCCGAAACATAGCCTTATAATAAGACAGAAGTCTACGTTTGTCAAGGAAAATATCAGCTCGTGAAACATTATTGCTACTACATGTCATACACCATTTAAATATTTTAGGTACTAATCCAACTGTTGATAAATACCAAAGTTATTTTAACATGTTATTCAAATAATACAACTTCAACTTAAAAAGATTATTTCTAATAAAAATACAAGTCTACACACTTATAATGTCCAGATATAGCACGAAGGAGACGAAAACTCCCGCTATTTTAACCCATTTGTAATATGCCTATCTTACCTATTTCATTTATATTTTCATTTTTACGTAATCAGAAAATTATTATAAAAATATTAATGAAATAATATGTATGGTCGCCTATTTCCCGGTAGCCGTGGCTTTTCGCCCGGTAACACGATACAACATTGAGAAATGCCTCCGTATGAATAACACTTGAGAAGATTCATTTGATTGCGGGTATCGTTCGAAAGCTCTAACCATCAATAATATCACAGTGACCCTGCCAGGAGTATTTTCGCAGTTGTAAGAAGCGATTTTATTGGATAAAGATTGGTTTATAATGACGCTTTTTCACCACAGTCAAAAAGCATGCGCGTAGCCTAAGGCAGCCAATCATATTACAGCAATGGATACCGTCCTCATAAACTTTTAGACAAAAGTTTGGGTACAATAATGCTATTCTGAGCGTGTTAAGCAGGAAATGGCCACAAGTATGTAAATTGTGGAACCTATTGGACGTATCGTGCTAGGTGGTGACCTGTGACAATATTCTTTATGCAATTTGTTTCACATTAAACATGGTTGCGGAGCATGACGATGGAGGCGACGAAAGCCGGGATGTCACTCGACTTGCATAACATGATCGCCCGAATAGATGGAAATAGTAACTTAGATGTACGTTTGACAACTTTTATGAAAACTGTAGATTGTATTCATTAGTTTATTCAATTTAAATTATTTCCTCGATACATCGATACTTTGCTCTTGGACAATCTTTAGGTGGACCCGTTGCCAATCATTTGGAAAGACTTCCGCCCAATCCCCACCCACCACCGCCACCCATATTACCTGAATATACATATATATTTTTTTCCTCACCATTCAAATTTAGGGGGTATAGGAGCGGAAGTCTTACCTTCGGTGTTGAATTGATTAAAATTGAACAAATAAACCTGTCGGTATACCGGTACATCATAAACGTATCGCGATACGTAATTGTTACAATGTCGTATTGCGGTTTACCGGTATACCGGTTATACCATGCAGCCCTACTGTGTATAGGTTTGAACCCCGGCCTTTAGGGTTTCAGTGTGCTAAACATCACCCACACCTACCGCCAACTTCAGACATATGGCGGTATTTGAGTTGGAGGTGACAGGGAAGACTGAGAGATTTACCATTTCATAAAACTAACAAGTACACAATTGTGTTATCACACAGTTTTGACAGAAACATAATTCTGGCGTTTCCGGGATCCGAACATTGTACTTGTGATCAATGACTTAAACGCTAAAGGGACACAACTCTTCACAGAAAAATATTGCTGCTGTAACTATTGGAGGTGAGGTGAGGTGAGGTGAGGTGTGAGGTGAGGTGAGGTGAGGTAAGGTGAGGTGGTGAGGTAAGGTGAGGTAAGGTGAGGTGAGGTGAAATTGGGTTTAACATCGTAAACCATTGGACACTACACGCCCGGGGGTATACTGATGTAAGCGACCATTGTTTACGGTTAACTACGTTTAAAACGAACTCTCGTGTAACGAACTGACGGATATGACGAACGTTTTTGTCCATGGCATTTTGCTTCATATTTTAGTCGAAATGCATAAATAAGTTTTTATTTTAAAATGAGTTGTCCCTCTGAGTTCGTTATAACTGTTGTTTAATGTGTTGTTTTGGACATTTTTAATAGAAATGAATTTTAACTACAAAAGAATATTAACAAAAATGTTCGAGGTCCCAGGGTTAGACTACAGAATACCGGATACTTTCCGCCATCTTTGAAAGCACGCGAGTTTACTTAGGGTTATGGTAAGGTTTAGGGTAAGGTTTAGGGTAAGGTTTAGGGTTAGGGTAAGGTTTAGGGTATGTATGTATGTATGTATGTATGTATGTATGTATGTATGTATGTATGTATGTATGTATGTATGTATGTATGTATGTATGTATGTATGTATGTATGTATGTATGTATGTGCGTTTTCTCATTGTGTATGTATGTGTGTGTGCGTGCGTGCGTGCGCGCGTGTGTGCGAGTGCATGTCTGATTCGTTGTAAAATATTTGTTGAAGTTTATTCGATCCTGGGGATTTTTTCGAACATTCCACTTTAACATTTCAGACAATTAAAGTTCACGCCCTATTCCCTAATTCAGCTAACCAACAGGAGAACATCCCGTCATGGCCTTCAAGCAAGTCTTTCCGCTATATTCCAGGGTGATAAAAAAAAATTCCTTTGTACTTTTTGTGTATGTGTCATGTGCAAATAACATAACTGTATGAATTGTGTTCACATTTTGCAGGCATGGTGTTAAGGACCAGTGGATAACGTAGAGAAGGACTGAAGATGGCGATACAGGTATGTGACCTCAGTCTCACACCTCTGCTGTATCTTTATAGGTAGTGACTAAGTGAATTTAGTTTTACGTCGCATTTAGCAATATTTCACTAATATCACGGCGGGGACACCAGAAACAGGCTTCATATATTGTACCCATGTGGAGAATTGAACCCGGTCTAGCCAACGCTTCAACCACTTGGCTACCCCGCCGCCCCAATTTTGGACAGACCTTTTTATTATTATTATTGTAGGATATTTATATAGCGCACATATCCAGGCAACTAGTGCTTGCTCAAGGCGCTGGTATTTTTTTCCCTCGATCATTGGATGTCAATCTCAATGGCACATCCTATTATCAATCTCAACTCCCTGGGGAGTATACAACTCTTGCAGCCACAAGGCGCACCGAGTTATTGTGGCTTTCTCATCCTAACGAGGTACCCATTCACAGCTGGGTGGACTGGGACACATAGTCACAGTACTTTGTCCAACTTCACTGTACTTTGCTGTACCCGCAACTAGGTGTTTGCACGTTTCATGTGGCCACCATCTGGTCATATACCAACGGATCCGTGGGTTCTTTTAAGTGCACAGGGTTGTGTACTGTACACTAGGGGTTGTGACAACACTGAAAGAGTCTGCACACAAAGTTGACTCCAACGTTTTTACACCCGGTCACAGGTGGGCTCAATCCCGACACCTCAAGCTCGCTGGATCACTAGCCTGGCGCCTTAGCCAGCTCGCCCACTGTGCCCCCTTCACCAAGACATTGTTTATGTATGTTACCTGTAACTAAGCACATTCCATAAATGTGGTACTTGTTGTTACCCTGCCTAGCGCTAATGGGCCAAAACATGGACCGATAAACGCGGCCTGTGTCTGGTCTGAGTGAGGGATGCATGTGAACGCATGTTGTTCAACCTCAGTTAACCTCATCTGACATCGCCCTCGCTATGCATATGAATAGGAGGACGGGAATGTTGTCACTGTGCATGAAATTGTCAACGTCAAGGAGGACGGGGATGTTGTCACTGTTCATGAGGCAGTTCACGTCAAGGAGGACGGGGGTGTTGTCACTGTTCATGAGGCAGTTCACGTCAAGGAGGACGGGGATGTTGTCACTGTTCATGAGGCAGTTCACGTCAAGGAGGACGGGGATGTTGTCACTGTTCATGAAGTTGTCAACGTCAAGGAGGACGGGGATGTTGTCACTGTTCATGAGGCAGTTCACGTCACGGGGATGTTGTCACTGTTCATGGGCAGTCCACGTCAAGGAGGACGGGGATGTTGTCACTGTTCATGAAGTTGTCAACGTCAAGGAGGACGGGGATGTTGTCACTGTTCATGAGGCAGTCAACGTCAAGGAGGACGGGGATGTTGTCACGTTCAAGGAGGACGGGGATGTTGTCACTGTTCATGAGGCAGTTCAAGGAGGACGGGATGTTGTCACTGTTCATGAGGCAGTCCACGTGGAGGACGGGGATGTTGTCACTGTTCATGAGGCAGTCACGTCAAGGAGGACGGGGGTGTTGTCACTGTTCATGAGGCAGTCCACGTCAAGGAGGACGGGGATGTTGTCACTGTTCATGAAGTTGTCAACGTCAAGGAGGACGGGGGTGTTGTCACTGTTCATGAGGCAGTTCACGTCAAGGAGGACGGGGATGTTGTCACTGTTCATGAAGTTGTCAACGTCAAGGAGGACGGGGATGTTGTCACTGTTCATGAGGCAGTCCACGTCAAGGAGGACGGGGATGTTGTCACTGTTCATGAGGCAGTTCACGTCAAGGAGGACGGGGATGTTGTCACTGTTCATGAAGTTGTCAACGTCAAGGAGGACGGGGATGTTGTCACTGTTCATGAGGCAGTTCACGTCAAGGAGGACGGGGATGTTGTCACTGTTCATGAGGCAGTTCACGTCAAGGAGGACGGGGATGTTGTCACTGTTCATGAGGCAGTCAACGTCAAGGAGGACGGGGATGTTGTCACTGTTCATGAAGTTGTCAACGTCAAGGAGGACGGGGATGTTGTCACTGTTCATGAGGCAGTTCACGTCAAGGAGGACGGGGATGTTGTCACTGTTCATGAAGTTGTCAACGTCAAGGAGGACGGGGAGTGTTGTCACTGTTCATGAGGCAGTTCACGTCAAGGAGGACGTGGATGTTGTCACTGTTCATGAGGCAGTTGTGAAGGAGGACGGGGTGTTGTCAACGTCAAGGAGGACGTGGATGTTGTCACTGTTCATGAAGTTGTCAACGTCAAGGAGGACGGGGATGTTGTCACTGTTCATGAGGCAGTTCACGTCAAGGAGGACGGGGGGTGTTGTCACTGTTCATGAAGTTGTCCAACGTCAAGGAGGACGTGGGTGTTGTCACTGTTCATGAAGGCAGTCAACGTCAAGGGAGGACGTGGATGTTGTCACTGTTCATGAAGTTGTCAACGTCAAGGAGGACGGGGATGTTGTCACTGTTCATGAAGGCAGTCAACGTCAAGGAGGACGGGGATGTTGTCACTGTTCATGAAGTTGTCAACGTCAAGGAGGACGGGGATGTTGTCACTGTTCATGAAGTTGTCAACGTCAAGGAGGACGGGGATGTTGTCACTGTTCATGAAGTTGTCAACGTCAAGGAGGACGGGGGTGTTGTCACTGTTCATGAGGCAGTTCACGTCAAGGAGGACGGGGATGTTGTCACTGTTCATGAGGCAGTTCACGTCAAGGAGGACGGGATGTTGTCACTGTTCATGAAGTTGTCAACGTCAAGGAGGACGTGGATGTTGTCACTGTTCATGAAGTTGTCAACGTCAAGGAGGACGTGGATGTTGTCACTGTTCATGAAGTTGTCAACGTCAAGGAGGACGGGGATGTTGTCACTGTTCATGAAGTTGTCAACGTCAAGGAGGACGTGGATGTTGTCACTGTTCATGAAGTTGTCAACGTCAAGGAGGACGGGGATGTTGTCACTGTTCATGAAGTTGTCAACGCACCGTTCAAGGAGGACGGGGATGTTGTCACTGTTCATGAAGTTGTCAACGTCAAGGAGGACGGGGATGTTGTCACTGTTCATGAAGTTGTCAACGTCAAGGAGGACGGAGGCAGTCAACGTTGTCACTGTTCATGAGGCAGTTCACGTCAAGGAGGACGGGGATGTTGTCACTGTTCATGAAGTTGTCAACGTCAAGGAGGACGGGATGTTGTCACTGTTCATGAGGACACGTCAAGGAGGACGTGGATGTTGTCACTGTTCATGAAGTCCACGTCAACGTGTTGTCACTGTTCAGAGGCAGTCCACGTCAAGGAGGACGGGGTGTTGTCACTGTTCATGAGGCAGTTCACGTCAAGGAGGACGTGGGTGTTGTCACTGTTCATGAAGTTGTCAACGTGAAGGAGGACGTGGGTGTTGTCACTGTTCATGAAGTTGTCAACGTCAAGGAGGACGGGGGTGTTGTCACTGTTCATGAAGTTGTCAACGTCAAGGAGGACGGGGGTGTTGTCACTGTTCATGAGGCAGTCCACGTGAAGGAGGACGGGGATGTTGTCACTGTTCATGAGGCAGTCCACGTGAAGGAGGACGTGGATGTTGTCACTGTTCATGAAGTTGTCAACGTGAAGGACGGGGGTGGACTGTTCATGAGGCAGTCCACGGTGTGTTGTCACTGTTCATGAGGCAGTTCACGTGAAGGAGGACGTGGATGTTGTCACTGTTCATGAAGTTGTCAACGTCAAGGAGGACGTGGATGTTGTCACTGTTCATGAAGTTGTGTCAAGGAGGACGTGGATGTTGTCACTGTTCATGAAGTTGTCAACGTCAAGGAGGACGTGGATGTTGTCACTGTTCATGAAGTTGTCAACGTCAAGGAGGACGTGGATGTTGTCACTGTTCATGAAGTTGTCAACGTCAAGGAGGACGGGGATGTTGTCACTGTTCATGAAGTTGTCAACGTCAAGGAGGACGGGGGTGTTGTCACTGTTCATGAGGCAGTCCACGTGAAGGAGGACGGGGATGTTTGTCACTGTTCATGAAAGTTGTCAACGTGAAGGAGGACGTGGATGTTGTCACTGTTCATGAGGCAGTCCACGTCAAGGAGGACGGGGATGTTGTCACTGTTCATGAAGTTGTCAACGTCAAGGAGGACGGGGGTGTTGTCACTGTTCATGAGGCAGTCCACGTGAAGGAGGACGGGGATGTTGTCACTGTTCATGAAGTTGTCAACGTCAAGGAGGACGGGGATGTTGTCACTGTTCATGAGGCAGTTCACGTGAAGGAGGACGGGGATGTTGTCACTGTTCATGAAGTTGTCAACGTGAAGGAGGACGTGGATGTTGTCACTGTTCATGAGGCAGTTCACGTCAAGGAGGACGGGGATGTTGTCACTGTTCATGAAGTTGTCAACGTCAAGGAGGACGTGGATGTTGTCACTGTTCATGAAGTTGTCAACGTCAAGGAGGACGTGGATGTTGTCACTGTTCATGAAGTTGTCAACGTCAAGGAGGACGGGGATGTTGTCACTGTTCATGAGGCAGTCCACGTGAAGGAGGACGTGGATGTTGTCACTGTTCATGAAGTTGTCAACGTCAAGGAGGACGTGGATGTTGTCACTGTTCATGAGGCAGTCAACGTCAAGGAGGACGTGGATGTTGTCACTGTTCATGAAGTTGTCAACGTCAAGGAGGACGTGGGTGTTGTCACTGTTCATGAGGCAGTCCACGTGAAGGAGGACGTGGATGTTGTCACTGTTCATGAAGTTGTCAACGTCAAGGAGGACGGGGATGTTGTCACTGTTCATGAGGCAGTTCACGTGAAGGAGGACGGGGATGTTGTCACTGTTCATGAGGCAGTCCACGTGAAGGAGGACGGGGTTGTTGTCACTGTTCATGAGGAAGTCCACGTGAAGGAAGACGGGGATGTTGTCACTGTTCGCGAGGCAGTCCACGACGGAAGACGGGGTGTTGTCACTGTTCATGAGGCAGCAACGTCAAGGAGGACGTGGATGTTGTCACTGTTCATGAAGTTGTCAACGTC